CAACCCCACCACCACCCCTAGGAAAATGGAAAGATTCTTAGATGACGATGCATTAAGAAACTATTGCCCCGAATGCATCCCTTTCGAATCTGCCCGTTTTTCGTTGCAATCAAAAAATTCATCATAATGCGCTTGTTGTTGGCCCTTTCCGGCGGCAATAATTTGTATGTTCAGGTAGAGTTGTTTTGGGGCAGAAAGACACCTTTTATTGGCGGAGGGTGCAGGGGTCTTAATTAACTTCTCATTGTTTAAGGACTTGGTAGTTAGAGGAGATCTGAAATGATTGTACAAATTTTAGATCCTGATACGGCAATTGATATGTGCATAAACTTTACGGGAACCCGACAGACGGTAGACGATTGTCAATGTTTAATTGTTTTTTTTTTAGGCAATTTTTCAATGTTTAATTGGACTCCACGTCTACACCATCATTCATTTTCTTATAAACCTGCTATCGCTTCAAAAATCACCCGATGATTATCTAAACCTTTACTAATTTCACACGGGTTACATCTTTCTTTACATTCGTTTGGATAACAAACGGTAGCTTTCATTGAGTATGGAAATTAGAACTCATTCCCCTTTTGTTAATATTAGCATCAAATTGACAACGACCTAATCCGTCAAATTCATCCTCATTGTCATGAAATTGCTCAGATATTTCCATCCAATAACTTTGAATTATTTTTTACAAAAAGCCCCTTTATGCTCATAATTAATCATACCTTTTGACTCCATGTACTAAGCACATTCAAGATTAGTTAGAAATGTTTTGACTCCATTTACTAATTGTTTGGATAGAGCTTTATTCCAAATAATTATTTGAAATAATTACTGTAGCATTTTTTGTGATGTGATGTATGTGAGATAAAAAGGTGGTTGAGAATATAAAAAGGTGAACTGAGAAATGTGTTTATGATACAAGTGAAACATTTTTTTGGAAAATTTTGCCATCCAGACATAGCCCTCGAATATATTATTTATTTAAACCAAAAAATAATTTTCATTTTCCTTTGCCAAATTAAATATAACTAGTGTTAAGACCACAATCAATATAATTAGTGAAAAGTTGGGCTGACAACAAAATGAAAAAAGTGTAAAATTGGCTATCAAACAAATGCTCAAATGTTGTCTATTCAAACGGATTTTTACGTACAACTTCTAGTAATCGTGAGCTACATCACATAATTTTTAGTTTAGTATAATTCAAAAAAAAAAATTTGCTGCATTTAGTTGTAAACCAAAAAGCCCTGATCCGTTAAGCGTAGAGTCTTGTATCTTCTCCGCCTCTCTGATGCCTTGTGAGTAGAAGTGTCAAAATGGGTGACTTGGGCGGGTTTGGGTTGGGTAAAATGAGTAATGGGTATAACTGAGTCAACTCATTCATACCTATTTAATTAGATGGGAATAAATGAGTAAGTCAAAAAATGAATTGGATAACTCAATTACCCATTTATAACCCATTTATTTTAACTTTTTGTAAACTCATTTAAATTCATTTTTGCAAACTAAGTTATCAATTTATACTACTCTTTGTACCCATCATTAGTTTTAAATATTTATTTATAATGTTCAATAAACTTAATTATCAATTTTTTTTCATTTATACTCTGTGTCACAAAATTACCTATTATTTAATAATTGAATAATAAGAATATAAAAATTTGAACTAAGTACTATAAAAATTAATATAAAAACTTAATCCAAAAATTTTGAACCCCTAACATTTTTTTCATATATAAATTTAAAATTTCATTTTAGAAAGATAAGAAAATAGGCTAAAATTTATCATAAATTAGTAATGCTGAAAAATGAGTAAGTTAACAAACTAAGAGAAAATAAAATAATAAGATAAAACCAACAAATAATAATAATAATAATAATGAAACAAAAGTAGTTAACATCATGACAAAATAAATAATTTGAAAAAAAAAATGGGTGGGGGAAAAGAAGAGACTTGGGGGGAAGAGAATTGTAAATGGGTTAATTGGGTTTGATGGGTTACCCAATAATACCTATTTATTAAATGGGTATTATTGGGTAACCCATTTATACCCATATACAAAAATTTAAGATACCCATACCCATCTATTCATGGGCGGGTATGGGTAAATTTAATTAAGTGGGTTGATTTGCCACCTCTACTTGTGAGTAGGGCTGCAAACGAGTCGAGTCGAGTCGAGTTTTGAACTAATCGAGCCGAGTCTCGACTAAATTTTACCAAAATCGAGCTTGACGAGCCAGCAATTTTCGAGCTCGAGCTCGAGCTCGAAAAAATAAAAAAAAATAAATATTTTATTTTTAAAAAAATAAATAAAAATAATATTTTTTTCTTAATAAATAATAAAATATTAAGAATATATACGTAATTTTACTATAAAAATAAAAAATAAAAAAATATAATATACATAATTTGATTATTAAATAAAAAAAAATATATATATATACTCAAACTCGCGAGCTGACTCGCGAGCTAACGAGCTTAATATTTTGAACTCGAATTTGACTCGAGTCGCTCGCGACTCAATCCGTTTGCAGCCCTACTTGTGAGTTCTTTTTGCCCGTTGCTTCTAAATTACACCCATGTCCTGACGCCCAAAACAACACAGCCTGTTTAAGTTAGTTAGACAGGTGGGTGATTGTTGTTTGGGCCTGTTTTCTTCTAAATAGGAAACTCGACGAGAAAATTCACATCTGTTGTTGTAGTTTAGCACAAATCAATTGTGACTGCTAGTCGAAGGCCTGTGTGGATAGGTCCAACCCGAGCCCAAATATACAAACAGGAATTATCGAGGCAGAATTGCGGATGCAAAATTGCAAACACGTCACATGGCCGCGCCCTCTCCCCTGCCCAAGTGTTCCCCACGGCCCCCACAATGTGTCCACGAGAGCTAATAAAATAAATGTGTGATTAATAAAAAAATATAATTAATAATTTAATATAAATATATTAGTATAACTGATCAATAATTTTTATTATTATAAATATATAATTATTAGTATAACTAATAATAGTAATTATATTACATATACATAATCTGATACTTATAAGTCACTCCTATAACTAAAAATATTAAATATTTACATTTATATTTAGGCGGGTGACAGAGCCTTGCCCCATTTTTCAACTAGGGAGAAAATGACCTCCCACTACGTCTCATTCCCACCCCATCAATTCTTCGTGAGTACCCACTCCAACTATCATCCTGTGGATGAAAAGAATATATTTAGCGCCCTTTGTTTTTTTTTTTTTTTGGTGAAACTATGTCCTTAATCAATCTACATCATGAGATATTTTTCACCATTAACAAAGTCCCTATTCGTTAATCGAACTCAAAAATAATCTATGCATATTCACAAAATATTTTTCTTCTTTGCTAGAAATTTTTTTGTGTTTTGGATAAAGTATTATTTGAAATAATTACTGTAACACTTGTTGTGATATGTGAGATAAAAAATAGTTTGGAATATAAAAAAATTAGATTGAAAAATGTGTTTATGATGCAAGCAAAATATTATTTGAGATAAATTTGTAATCCAAACACGCTCGATCGATCAAACTCTCCTATGAAATCAACCACAATCAACAATTTATACACCGATGCGTTAATTAAAATCTTCTCACGTGTAAACTAATACATGCACATATGAATATATGATGCCATTAAGTCATGCACATTTTCATAGAATTCAACTTTCCCATTCGGCCATGTCACATTTGCCATTGTATTCCCCTTGAAAATCTTAACTACATCCTCGCAGTCTATAGATTCATACGCGTTCGACTAACTTTAAGCAAACCCGCGGCAAAGCAGACAAGTTCAAACGTTACAAACGACTAACGACGAAGAAGTAAGAACGAGGCCGAATATAAACATGCTTAAATGCTACTACTACGCAGTAAAGTTTTGTGTATTCTCAATTTTTTTTTTGTTTTTCATTTCTTCGATAGTGATCAAATGATTTTTTTTTTTTTAATCTTCTTCTTATAAATATCGGTTTGGGTTTGTTCATGACTTTGTTCGACCGCTGAATACTAACAATTTTTACTTTTTTGTGTGTGGAGGATCGGGGAACAACGTGGCTTTTTCATCATCCCAAATCCACAAGCAATTAATTCAACTTACTGCTGGACATTCCGAGTTAACATCACAAGACTTCCGATGCCAGTTACCTTTCAATACCAACACAACGGTGAAAACACTGAGGAGAAGATTGGAAAAAAAAAATCAATATTTTCTGATCAATATGGAGTCGTACTAACACCATTTTCAAATTAAAAAAAAAAAAAAACAAAGAAGCATACTGAAATGTTGACTACATAAATCCAGAGAGCCCTCACGTAGGTTGGCTCAGATTTTAAGAACTCACGGGCTAACAAAATAAACTCAGATGCGATCATTACTGTTTTCGCTTGGGAATTGAAATTTCACGTGTTAGATGTGAGATCCAACACAAAAAAATGGTCCGACCGAAGTGAAAGATGAAAAAGTTGAAAACGATCACTAATTTAATTGGTTCAATTCATTTGGGTCCCTACCGAATGATATTTTTGTTGACATGGCTCCCAACAGGTCCGGCCATTAACACGTGTATATCGTATTTCTGGCTGAAATAAATGAATAATTCATCAAAAGAGAGATTGGCCCCAAGAAACTAAAAATGATCGCAGCATGGTGGGGCCTTGCATGATTACGGAGCTCTTGTTTTGTAGCAGCGAGTTTCTGTCTTGTGAGTTGTGGCTTGTGATTGCGGGCGGAAAGAACACTAGATTTGGTCAATGGTTTTAACTTTTACCCACAGTTATATTAAAATCCGTCAGCAGAAATTGTCGATAGTTTGGGTTTTTTTTTTCTTCTTCTGATGAATTTCCTATATTCTTCTCGGGGACGATGGTATGCCGCCAAGTGCCTATGCCCATCCAAAAAGCGAACATGTTTTTTTTTTTTTTTTTTCCCAAACGGTAACATTAATTGTATTAAGCATCAACAAGTACAAAGTCAGAGCAACTGCTCCGGTAAATCTGCCTGAACTAATTCAAGCAGCCACGCTGAAAAGCTAAGCTTCCATTCAGCTACATCAATCAGAGTTATAGCAAACTTTGGTAAATAGTGACTTACATAGTTGTTGCTCCTTCTAGTATAGGAAAAACAACATTGGTCAAATTCTTTCATCATCCTCCAAATATCCAACTGAATAATGGCTATGCTGACTTCCTCTTCCCTTGCATTGATTTTGTCTACCACGTGCTTACAGTCTGATTCCAGTTCCGCGTTCCTCCAACCCATTTGTTTAGCTAGTACCATAGCTTCTCGTATTGCCAGAGCTTCCTCCACCTGTACCTCAGCACAACCTTCAGTTGGTCTCGCCCATGCACCTGCCAATTCCCCTGAGCTGTTCCTGGCCGCTATACCCCACCCTGCCTTGTTGAGTTTTTGGTCCAGCCCGCTTGCGGTGTATCCCATCTCCTACCCTTTTCCTGCTCTCCAGCCACCAGGTTGTCATGTTTTGCTCCCCCCCCCCCCCCTTGTGCCAGATGAAATTCATTCCATTCCATCAGGGCTTTGTTAATCACCACCATTGGCTCGCTGCTCCTGTTATTGAACTGCTTCTAAAAGCGAACATGTTAAGAAGATCCAAATTTCGTGCTCCTGCAGGTCCATCCAGTACGGAAATGTTAGCTAAAGTTGATGCGCATTTTAGTCCATTCTAGTGGCTGAAACACGACACGCTGATTTGATATGTAATATTCCGTCTCACATTAAAAAGTCAAATGCCGTGAAACAAATGTATGTGTTGTGTCTAAACACTCAACTCGTATTATTTAGAATATCCATTTTGGTCTAACGATGACAGAATTTAAATACTTTGTTGAAACTGCGATCGCGTCTTGGACATGCAGGTCCCAGGCTTGACCCGTTCTCGAAATTGGGTCAACTAAATGCAGGAATACTCCCTCCTTACGGAGATTATGGTTTTGTCAATTGGTTGGCAGTCGCGCGGCCCAAACACGGGCAACTTCGTGCCTGAGAAGAAATAGACTCAAATAGTACTTACGTACTATGATGGTCAATTGAATTGAACATCCCCGTTTATTCTGACGACGAGGTTACACAAAAGATAAAATGACAGATATCAAATGGGAGACCATTTACTTACACTCCATCGCCTCAAACCAAACCATTCGACCCATACCTGCCCCAAAACAAAGCCTAGCCGATTACTGACCGACGCAACGCAAGTGCGTGTACGTGGAGAAAGTGAATTGTTCTAATAGTCAGCGTTTTGACTTGTCAAAACTCTAACATGGGAATGCATTGCATTGCATTGTGTGACACGATACTGGACGGAAGGAATTCGGGTCAAAATGACGAACAGTTTGCTGATCCTTCTGCGGTCCGACTGTTGACCCCCTAAACCTAAACACTAATAAGAATTTCAAGGAAATTCAATGGTCCGAGCAAAAGGGGCATCCTCCGGTCTCGGCTGCTCTCGACCTCATTGGCAGGACCTCACCAATAACAAAGGGGGAGAGAGAGAGAGAGAGAGAGGAAAATTAAAAAAAAAAAAAAAAAGAAGAAGAAGAAAAGAAGAAGTCGTACTGCTATTTATTTCTACAAGTAACCCTTTAAGGTCAAAATTAGAATTTCATTGTTCGACAGGTCCAGTTTCACTATGGCTAATTGTCTACTGGTAGTCTCTTTCTTTTTCTTTCTCGCTGCATGCAGCAGCTTTACTTTTCTCATTAGCAGCGGGTTCAAACGTCAAACCCTGCCAGAGAAAATACGCTGATTTTTTTTTTTTTTTTTTTGTGGGGGGGGTTCCTGGTATACCTAATAGCTGTCTATTTCTTTCCTCCATGGTTTCGTATTTGTAGCATCTTGTTACGTACGTTCTGGGCAAGAAAATGGGTTCGAACTATTCTTCTCATACTACGTTAATGAGATGTGGCTCTGGGGACATAGTACGGCACTCCTCCTCTTTATCAAGTATTAACTAAAAATCGGAGGATCAATAATGTATCCATCAGCAAACATTAAGCTTAGCAAAGCATGAAGCCCACCTCCTCCAAACCATGCTGTAATCTACACATGCCATTACCTTCCTAATATAATATACTATGATAACCTCATCATCGTCATCTGATCTACGCAGTTTGTTGATTTTAGTAATTCGTACTGTCAAGACAGAAAGCAGTATACAATATTGGGTTTGGTAGACTCATCCAAATCCTACCACAAAAATATACAAAGGATATAAAGAAAAAGTGAGAATGAAGGAACCTTAAAGAGAGAGCTCGCGTATCCGTTTATCTATATGTATTTCACTAAAAGGCACAATCCTTATTCCTTAGGAAGTTGGATTGCATTTTCTAGGATTTTTTTTTTTAAAAAAAAATTATTATAATATTTTGATGTATGTGAGAAAAAAAATAATACGAAAATATGAACATAAAAAACGATGCAATTTTCCGGCGAAAAAACGTCTGTCCAAACAAGGCTAAAGGACCTTTTCAAAAGCGTGAACTAAGAAACCATTGACGGACCAAACTCCCAAGCCTTGTGAGCAGCCACCAACCAACCGCATGGAATGGACTGGTCACTGGAGATAATGGTTGAATTGAAGCTGCCAAACTTGCAGGACAGGAGTGATAATTGGTCAATTCCTCTCCTCCCACAGATCTTTTTTTTTTTTAAATTTATTTAAAGAGCAGAATTTAACAGGCGTTAATACCCGTCAGCCCAAACGTTTCTTGGAACTTTCAAACTTTTCTTGAAGCATTTAAAAATGAAATTTTTTTTTTTGAAAAGTGTCTTTTGCCATTTGTCGCCTCATCTTTCCCTCGAATGACAAGTTCGTCCCAGTTTTCACTCGGTCCGCTAGACGAAATTATTCTTTTCCCGAGAAAGGCAAGAATCAATCGCCTCGCAATAGGTATGATAATTGATTGTTAGCTCTGGAATAATTTACACTGAAGAGTAAGGGTAAAGAATCCTCCTCTCAGTTATTTAGTAGTTAAAATCATACTAGAATATCGAACCATTATAACACAAGATAATACATGTAGGTGTGTAATATGAGTATTTATTAACTAGGGTAAAAAGTTGAAGGCCAGAGTCCTCAAATATTACTTACAGAACACAATTAAAAAGATTATTGCGTCCTTTGTTTTCTGAACAAGGTAAGTTAAATGCAAGCAGCACACAAATGTCAGAACCAGTAATAGTAGGGAATAAGGATCCCTAAATAATAAAAAAAAAAACAAAAGGAAAAGAATAGATGATTCTCCACTTTTCATCCCCACTCTAGCAGTGCCTTATGATTCATCGCAGCTTGCCTTGTAATCTTCAAATTAAAAAAAAAAAAACAGCACTTACAACTCTATATAAAATAAAGGAAATTGAACAAATTCATATCAACGGGTTTTATCAATTAAAATGCACTAGTCGTCTTAACCATGCAGTTCAATTATTGGTGAATAGATTGTATAATTGAACAGCTGAGTTAAAGCGCGCAATTTATCTCGGCACTGATTTTTATAAATTAATGCTCAATTTCATTCAAATTGATAACAATATTATAAGGGAATGTCTTTTTTATTTTTAGAAAGGATAATAAATTGGTTGAGAAAAATTTCACTGGCAAGACTTAAATTTGGATAGATTTAGTCTTTTTTTTTTTTTTTGTTTCAATGATAGATGCATGTTCAAAATATCTAATAGCCTAGATTATGTCATACCACTTATTAAGAAGACGACAGTGATAGATCCGGCCTTCAAAATATCCAATAATAATCTAGGTGTGTGTGGCACAATCCAAATGAGGCATTGATAAATATGATTTGATTGGGAAATGAATTTAAAAAGTACGATAGAGACATCCAAATAAAGACTCCACAAGCTGTGGCGACAAAATGAGTGCGAGGTTTATGCAACCTTTTAAACCCACAGGTACATGATTGGTATTTTAGGACAGCAGAAGGACAATTATGTCTACTAAAATATCTCCGACTTTCTGTTTAGTTTCCGCGCCGCGTCGTCTTTTCCCCGGGGAAAACTTGAAACTCGTCTTTGACCTGGCAGCCGGAGAAATTAAAAGCCATATGAAAAATCGTGGCCCAAGCAAACTATGCGCAACTAAAAGTGCTCCACCCCCCCGCCCCCAGCTAGTCACAAGAATATCATTGAAAACGTGTGGACGGCGAGATCTTATTCATTTATTTTGCAACATATTTTATGTTCATCCACCACACTATGTAAGTATGTATATATAACTATCCACATGCCTTTTAACTGATCACAACAGTTCTTCTTCATTTCATTAGTTACCCCTGTATCTCCTCACTGCTTTCCTCCGGACCCAAAAAGCTGCAATTTCAACAGAGATATTAAGAGAAAAAAAAAATAAGGGAACTAAGATGGCAGTGGCTAAACAATTTTTGGGTACGTCTCTATCGGAGAAATCCCAATTTATCAATTCATTTAAGGTGGTCTTGGTTGATCAGAAATCGGGCCAGTTTTCTTCTTCCCATCCAACTCAGGTTAAACCTGCTGAAAGAAGAAGCCTGCAAATAAGGAAAGCAAGGAGGACCAGTACTGGTAGTAGTCCGGTAGCAGCTATCAGTGAGAAGAATTTGGTGAAGGTTGTACCAGAAAAGGCAGTACAATTCAAGGTGAGAGCTGTTGTTACTGTTAGGAACAAGCACAAAGAAGACTTGAAGGAGTCAATTGTGAAGCAGTTGGATGCTCTGACTGACAAACTTGGAAGAAATGTGGTGCTAGAGCTTGTTAGTACAGAAATTGATCCTAGTAAGCCATTATTTCCTTCTTTTCTTGAACCCAAATAAAACTTTTTGCTCCAAAGTTTACTGCTTAAGAGTCAACATTGATCTTGAGAATATGTTTTGATTTGGCCTTCTAATTTTTTCCCCCATCTCTCTCTCTCTCTCTCTCTCTTTCTTTTTGTGGGTCTGGCATTGATGAAGATACAAAAGCTCCAAAGAAAAGCAAGCAAGCGGTGTTAAAGGACTGGTCTAAGAAATCAAATCTTAAGACACAGAGAGTAAATTACACAGCTGAATTTGTTGTAGACTCCAATTTTGGGGTGCCAGGGGCGATCACAGTGGCTAACAAGCACCAACAAGAGTTCTTCTTGGAGAGCATGACCATTGAAGGCTTTGCATGTGGTCCAGTACATTTCTCTTGCAACTCTTGGGTGCAATCCAATAAACATCATCCTGGAAAGAGGGTATTCTTCTCTAATCAGGTATAAAGGCGTTTGTTAGTAATCATCTTTCTGCGTTCACTATGATATTCTGTTTTCACAAGACGGCATTATCACTCTTCCTTCTTCGCTAGTCAAAATCTTCACCATACTACTTTTTGGTCTGGTCCAACCTGAAGTCGGCCACTTGGGTTCATACTTGTTGAATTGAACCTTCCTTCTGCGATAAAGAGTTGAATGA